ACCAGTTGATCTGTTCAGATCAGTTGATCAGCAGCAGAATAAACAGCAGCCTTCTCTGTTACCAAATGTGTTATTTAAAGGAGTCTCCATCCTTCATGGTTTGTAAAGAGGAAGTCAGCTCTTTCTCACCACTGCATAAAGTCATCTCATGAAGGGTGTTTTAACACAGAGCTAAGAACCATTTACTAAATATGATAAAAGTTGATTATTTTTCATCGCACAGCTGCCTCAATTAATGCTAGATCACAAAATCTGAAAATACCAAAACAACTGGAAAATACACAAATTTATCATTTACCATATAGGCCATCAGTGCCTGTTCTCAATGTGAACCTCCTGCAGAACTAAAATAAACCCCTTAAGCTTTAACTACTCGTTTTTACTTTAGTTTCTCAGGTTTTTCTCTGCACTCAAACAGCCATCACTTCAGGTCTTAACATTTCTCTATAAATATTTGTATATGGGAGGAAATTGAAAGAAGAAGAAATGCTTTGTCGCTATACAGTTATAGAGTTACCTTCACAACTACAACTTAAAGGTTTCCATAAGTACTTCTACTCCCAAGTCACTTGTTTAAATAATCAGTATTATTCCTGCTTCCTTTAATTCTTTACTATATATTTTTTTTATTCTTTTTGGCATTTAGACTTTGCGCTTAATGTTCAAAGACTTCTGTGGATTTTTTACTAAAATCTGATGTTCTCTGAAATCAAGAATAATGTGCATAAAACAATTCAGATGTATTGAACAGTGCGTAGCCATGCATGCAGGTGTAACAGAACCTGTATAGGTACCAGATCTGCTGCCCTGCCCTAAGATCTTATAAAAAAATAAATAAAAATAAACTGAGACTTTTAGTGTCACCTTGTTAAATGGCAGAGCTCATTCTGTCTCAGAAGGCAGTACTTTCCTTTAAGGCTGACAATGATCGTTTTTAGTTTTGGCTACTTTAGATCATCAATGAAATGTGAAATAATAGCAAATATGGGTAATAATATGTTGAGACTCCAAAAGAGATTTGATCCTTAAGAAACGGGTGCAATACAGTTTGTTCGAGTGGAGTTGCCATGTGTTGACGTCATAAGAAGGGGCAGATCTGAGCAGATCTGGTTCCTAAACTGAGCTTTGGGCCTGTTAGGCAGATTGAATGTTCCTGTAAAACAGGAGAATGAATAAGAACGGCAACAGCAATATTGAAGAAGGAGAGCCTATGACCTCACTATACCGTGTCATGGAGTAATGTGCCACCTTCTGGTGTGAA